CCCTATTGAACTTGGTGAGAATCGGTTCAAGTTTCGATATAGCTCACATATATATCTTTAACCGATTTCGGTTTAATTGTGCATCAAATGACCAATTTCAGTTCAAAATGACCTGAATTTTTGCACAACCGACTAGAAGGAAGTACATACGATTTGGTGAAAACGGTTCAGATATAGCTCCAGTATATATGTTTTATACGATTTGGGGTTTTAAGTCGCTCATATATGTAATATGCACTACACAAGAATGATATTTGGTACCATATAATTTATAGAGCTTAAAAATAATTCTGTCAAATCATATTGAGAACTGATCAGATTTGGATATAGCTCCCTTTTATGTGTATCCTCAATCGATTTCGATTTAATTACGCACCAAATGGCTAATATCAGCTCATATAACCTGAATTCTGGCACATCCAAGATAATTCAGTCTAGAAGCAAGTACTTTAAAATTTAGGTGAAAACCGGTTCAGATATATCTATAGCTCCCATATATACGTTTTATCCGATTTAGTGTTAAAGTCCCTTATATGCGTAATATGCACTCCACAACAATGATATTTGATACAGGACATCAGATGCAGATCGAAAATTCCTTTGCCAAATTTTACCGAGATCGGTTCAGATTGTTATATACTTTCGATATACATCTTCATCCGATTTTATGTGTATTGTTTACCATACAGGGTGAGATAAAAAACCTGCAACCAAGTCAAACGCCATAATTTTTAATTTTTTTTTTTAATTTTATTGAATGGAAGAAAAAAAGTAGGAAATATTATCAACTTTTAGAATAAGTTTAGATTTGTTCGCATTTCTCACCTTTGGCACGAATTATGGCTTTCAATCGGCCAATGAAACCGTCACACGCTTTCCGAATGTTGCTCTGCGGTATTTTGGCCCATTCCCGGCGAAACGCTTGCTTTAGGTGATCGATACTTTGGCATTTTTTAGAGCCAACCTTGCTTTCCAAAATACTCCAGACACAATAGCCCAACGGATTGGTATCCGGAGATTTTGGTGGCCATTATGCGCTGGAAATGAAGCGAGGGACCTCATTTTGTAACCATTCTTGGGTGGCGCGTGCCGAGTGCGATGGTGCTGAGTCCTGTTGGAATGTCCAAGGTCTGCGGCCAAAATGTTTGCGTGCCCAAGGCTTTAATAGACCCTCCAGAATATTTTCGCGATAAATGCCGAATTTATTTTGATGCCACGGTCGAATAATACGAGCGGAGAGCGCCCATCGGCTGTTATAGCGGCCCACACCATCACCATGGCCGTCGCTTGAGTTCTTTGGCAAGTAAACACGATCATTTTGTTTGATTACAAACTACTGGACAACGAATGTTTTCTCATCGGAGAAAACCAAATTCGGCATTTCACCACTTTCAGCCAAGCGAAGCAACTCTTTAGCTCTTTTGAGTCTATTTTCTTTCTGTTGCGGTGTAAGTTCTTGCACTTTTTGGCAATGAAACAGATCATCTGTTAAAAAAATACTGGAGGGTCGAATTTCAAAAAAAGGTGTGCTCAATATAAACAATGAAGTCCGCCAAAAAATTGTACATAAAATTCGTTGTGGGCACAACTCTTTAAACCACAGAAAACTCCTTGGCTTCTTACAAAAACAGCGATATGTATGTCTGATTCCAATGAAATTCAGAATGTGTGGCGGAATTTGGTTACAATAATAATTTCCAAATTCATTAGAATTCGATTGAGATTTGGATATAGCTCCCATATATATTCTCGGCCGATTTCACATATTTGATGCACCAAACACAGTATGTATCTCCAATTTCAATTAAATATAGAAGATGTGACGGAATTTGGTGTGAAATTAAATTTTGTCAAATTATATTGATATCGTTTCAGATTGGGATATGATTTTATGAAGAAGCATTGACCGACAAAGCCTCTGCAATGGTATTAGACTAACAGTAAAAAACTACACAACAATTTAATTGAGGATACGATTATTACGGGGGAGAATGTTGCTACCTCGAATTGCAACAGAAATTCCACTCAACTTCAAAAGATTGCAGTTTCCTTCACGATTGTTATTTGCTACGAAATTAATAAATCCGAAGGACAAACCCTTAGTGTATGCGGACAAAATTTGGCATGTTCCTGCTTTTCTCATTGTCAGCTGTTCCTGGCATGTTCACGGGTTGGGAGACGAGCTATTTGTTTGTTTAATTTTATTTTAAAATTTTTGAATTTGTTTCATTTATTTATTTATTATACCAACAAATATTTTTATGTAAAACTTTGAATGCTATAAAAGCAAAAGGAGTATCGAAGCGCGCCGGGTTCAGCTAGTATAACATATTGAGTCATTTTGGGGCATTTATCCCCTCATATTGGGGAGGTTTCTTAAAAATGCATGTCCTTTTTGGTTCAACTTATTTTTGTCAGCAAATAATTTCTGATTTTAAATATCTCTGTTCGGCTCTTTATATGTATAAGCATAATACTGATAATGAACTGTAGCAAGACCCTTGTTCTTCTAAAGTTAGTGGTTTGAGATATATCTAGTAATAGCAGTATTTAATCCAAATTCCTGTCATTATTAGAGTTCTAAAGATCACTACGGAAAAAGTTGCCCAGCTTTTTCATAAAAGAACGTGTAGGGTGATATCCAGCTACAAATATATTTGGGACTGGCAATTTTAACAGGGTCTGAACACTTGAATTTCCCTATGATGGAATTAATGCGGGAAAGTTTTGACATATTGTAAAGTTGTGCTGCTCGCGAAGCCATTTTGGTACTTTTAAGAGTCAAATAGCATTGACAAAAATGTCACTGTATTGAATTTTTCATCCCTGTTGCGTAGTAAACTACAAAACCAAAGTGTGACGAAGTTTCTCACGAGGTCCCATCTATACGAATTGAGGACTTTAATCCGAAAAAGAATCATTTTGTACTTGTTTTCGAAATTCGCTTCTATAAGAATTTATTTAGATGCTTTAATTTGTGAACAATATTGTTTACAATTATGTATGTTTATGTTTAATGTATGCATGGATTCCGAAGTTATTTACTCATTAAATATTCATCCTCATTTGGATTCACAACATATGTATGTACATGATAAGAGCTGTATATAGCTCTTTCCTGCCGGCAGATTTATCTATTGAAAATTTAACTATTTTTCAATGTTTCAAGACTTTTTGTTATTGGGATTTAATGTGTGAGTACATAAGCAGCTTGACATCATGGCTAGGCATATTAATGTCATATTAGAATTAAGAAGGAAAACCGTGCAATACTATGTCGATTTAGCGATGTCCGTCCGTCTGTGGAACTCACTCTAGCTTCCGAACGAAATGATTGAATTTTACTCAAATGTATATTATGTATGCAGGACTTTTGGTATTGAAAATGGGCTATGTAGGTCCACGTTTTGGTATAGCCTCCATATAACGATACCTCCCGATATTCGGTATTTTGATGATTTTAGCGATATTATTTACCGGAATTGTTTCAAATTTGGTATTTGAGGTTCGTAATGGATACTACAGCCTAAGACAGAAAATTGTGTGTGAGGGTCCAAGTTTCGCATTTGATTATTGTAATGGCTTATGACAAAAGTTTTTTGAAAATTGCCAAATTCGTTTCAAATGGTGGAGGATATTCAAGCTTTTTTACTTGTTTGTTTGTCATTAAAGCTTTTTTACTTGTTTGTTATAGGCTGTAATTCCTATTACGAACTTTAAATACAAAATTTGAAATGTTGCTAAAATTTTGAAAATACTGCCTTCTATCTTAATTCGTTCATAAGATAGCGTGATTACAACAGACAGACGGACAGACAGAAAGACACACATAATCAGGAATATACATGAGTAGTTCGAGCAGTTACAAAAGGAATGACAAAGTTAATATACCATCCACAGTGTGGTGGAGGGTATAAAAAGCTTAAACGTTAATTTGTTGATTGTTAAGAAAAGGAAATTGGCATTAAATAATGATTTTTAATATTTCATTATGAATATGTTTACTCTCTTTTAATGCTGCATTGTCATTGGCGTTTTCCTATCAAGGTATTTTTATTGAATAAAACGAAATAGGGCAACGTTCATCCTATTCTACTGTTACTGTATTATGGAAATATACAGTTGGCATCAAAAGTGTCGCAACAACGTGTATTCTTCATTATTATAGTGTTATTACTATATTTTGTTTGCAGCACCGTTTATTATCTTCTCCTCAGTTTTCTTTATTATATGTCAGAATAACGTGCGAAACATGGGTTAAATTAGACAAAATAGAAAGATTTGAAATATACAATAGGGTAAGTGTACCAGTAATCGGCACTTTTAGAAGAAACAACAATAATGGGATTTTGCCTGACGATTTTGCAGCAACAAAATACTATGGTATCCCAAACAAGCAAGCCAAACACTGTTCTAATAATAAATAAAGATTTAATAACTTTTTCTTAAATTTCATAAATTTGTAGTTTTATTAAAACAATGCTTTTTTGCCAGTAGTCGGCACCACTTGCCAATTGTCGGTATGACATTTTCCAACAGTTGGCATACCAATTTTTTTGTAAGAATAATTAATAATAATAATAAATTAATTCATTAAAATATAATATTTTTGTTTAGTTACACTGATTCGACGTCTTTATTGTACCTTTCTTAAGAATATGGATTGTTGAGGACCTTCAAAGACAAAAATTTAATTTTTATTAGAATAATTCATCTTTTCTTAGCGAAATTGTGCACAAAGATAGCTGACAATATATTTGAAGTAAACAAAATACATTTAGTTACAATAGTTTCATTTATTTGGGCTTGAAAATTAAAAGTGCCGACTACTGGGACATGCCGAACTTAGGCACACTTACCCTACCTGAAATATTCAGCGATTTCTGTAAGATTGCGTTGAAAGTATTTCATGCCTTTAAAGGTAAGAGGGTTTGCACACTTTTGCTGTTTACTGTATTCATATGTCCGCAAAGCGCCTGTGCGAAAAATGAGGGTAAAATACTTATTTTGATCAAAGCAAGTCAAGCGGTAAATGTGTCTCAAAAAAAGCATTGTTGATGTGCCGAAGAGATGGAAAACGAAATCAGTGCACAACTAGCTTTTAAGAGAAACTCATCATCGTTTCCAGGCAAAGTAATATTGTCGAAAGTACAACGCAAAGACATCGAACAATGATTGAGAACGGTTTACTGAGACTTTGGTGTATATTAGGTTTTCTGTTATCGGCATATGCCACGTATGTAGAAATCAATTTAATTCTAAATAAAGACTATAAGGCCCTGTGTGATCTGGCACCGAAAATAAGCTGCACTGCTGCATTTAGTTCATCGTAAGTTTTATTCGATCTCAATAAATTTTATTTATCTGGTGATATAATATTTCCACATTTCCTTTATTAGCTATGGCAAAGGTTTTGGATTTTTGAATAATGTAACTTCGAAGTCTAACATATTGTCGGAATGGAATCCACCCAATGGTATCTTTGGCCTGATATACTATGCAGCATTGTTTGCAACAGGTAATTTTAAACTCTCAGCTGTTTCGTGTATATAATAAATATTTTGAATCAACAAGTTAAGGAGAGTGTCACAGACGAAATAGAACAATGTGAATGACTTTTTAATGGCAATCCATTAATTTCTATTACAGTGAATCCAAATTGATAAACGTGTTTTATTTATACGCAGTGAAAAAAAAATTTAAATAATTAAAATAAGTCTTTATTGAGTTTCAGTTTCTCTTTAAAATATTTGAAATAATAACACTTATGAGGTGACAAGTGATCAAAGAGTCATAACGTTCTTTTTAATTGAGCTGTTAATTTAAAAAAAGGCAATTTAAACAAGTAAAAAAAAGCTGTAAGTTCGGCCGGGCCGAACTTTGAATTCCCTCCACAATTTGGAACGACTTTGGCAATTCTCAAAAACAATAAAATCCGTTAAAAATTCTATTAAAATCTTAAAACTACAGAATGTTATGTTAGGGTCTATACGACGACATGGACCTGCATAGGTAACTTTTGTCATAAGCCATTACTTCAAATGCGAAACTAATAAAAAATCGGTGAATAATGTCGCTAAAATCATCAAAATACCGAATATCGGGAGGTACCGTTATATGAGGGCTATACCAAAACGTGGACCCACGTGGCCCACTTTCTCTACCAAAAGTCCTGCAGATATAACATACACTTGAGTAAAATTTAACAATCTATTTCAATTTGTTCGGAAGTTAGAGTGATTTCCACAGACGGACAGACGGATAGGCGGACGGACATCGCTTAATCGACATAGAATTTTATGCTGATCAAGAATGTATATACATTGTGGGGTCTAAAATGTATATTTCGAGGTGTTACAAACGGAATGACAAACTTAATATACCCTATATACTATGATGGGGGGGTATAAAAAATGTAAAAATTATGGCGACTGACTTTGTTGCAGTTTTTTTTATCTCTAAATGGTTATTATTATTCATAAAATTTTAGTATGTGGTATTTTTTAAGGTTTGAACTTTAGTGGTGGAAATTCCAGCTTCAAGCGGTATTAAGAATGACCAAAACTTTGAGATGCGTGATGCGTAATTGAAGATAATCGGTGAAATATTTTGTGTTGTATGTATGTTTTGATTATATACAATTTTGAACTTTTGTGGTGGAAATCTGTCCTTTAATCTTCTTTGAACGGATACTTAAAAGCAGCTGATTGATTGTCGCAGCAAAAGGAAGAGTTGTCAGTGGCTACGTATGGAACACATTTATAATTATACAAAGTGTTACAAAGTGCCTTCTAATCTAAAGGTACAGTACGTGAGCTTGATTGCAGAGAGCAATTTTCACAGTTTCCTTAAAGAGAGTCTAAAAGTTCTTAGTGAGAAATGTTTTTCAGTAAGAATTATCCTGTATCATCTTCTGCTTGCTATTTTGATTCGATTTGTTCAATAATTGAAAAGTGTCGCGCATACATTTTTATCGACGGATTTTTTTTAAAATTTTAAATTTTAATAATGGAGGATATTTAAAGTTCGGCCGAACTTAGCTGCTTTTTTATACCCTCCACCATAGTATGAAGGGTATATTAGGTTTGTCATTCCGTTTGTAACATCTAGAAATATACATTTTAGACCCTAAAAATTATATATATTCTTGATCAGCATAAAATTCTATGTCGATTTAGCGATGTCCGTCCGTTTGTCCGTCTAACCGTCATTCCGTCTGTGGAAATCACTCTAGCTTCTGAACGAATTGAAGTAGATTGATAAAATTTTGCTCAATTATATGTTATGTCTGCAGGACTTTTGTCATTGAAAATGGGCCATGTAGGTGCACGTTTTGGTATAGCCCCCATATAACGGTACCTCCCGATATTCGGCATTTTGATGATTTTAGCGAAATTATTCACCGGAATCGTTCCAAATTTGGTATTTGATGTCGTAATGGATGCTACATCCTATGACAGGAAATTGTCTGTGCAGGTTCACGTCTTCGTATAGCCCCCATATAACGGTACCTCCCGATATTTGGTATTTTGATGATTTTAGCGACATTATTCTCCGGAATTGTTTCAAATTTGGTATTTGAAGTTCGTAGTGGATACTACAGCCTAAGATATAAAATTGTCTGTGCCGGTCCACGTCTTCGTATATCCCCCATATAACGGTACCTCCTGATATTCGGTATTTTGATGATTTTAGCTACATTGTTACCGATGTTTTTAAGTTTCGCATTTGAATATTGTAATGGCCTATGACAAATGTTATCTATGCAGGTCCATGTCGTCGTATAGACCCTAATATAACAGCAACATTCGGTATTTTTAAGATTTTAACAGAATTTTTAACGGATTTTATTGTTTTTGAGAATTGCCAAATTCGTTCCAAATGGTGGAGGGTATTCAAAGTTCGGCCCGACCGAAATTACAGCTTTTTTACTTGTTACTGTTTCATTTTGATCCGTGGCATGTCTGGTGGCAGGCTTTGTCCAAGCTAATTTAATATGGATGTCTCGATTTGGATCTGCTTTTATATTTATTTAATGCATTTCTTAATTGAATCTCCTAAATCTTATGTGTATTCTGAATCATTTTCTTTGGGATTTAAGCTTTGTAAAACCACCAATTGGTAAAGAACATAAAAACTCTCCGATCTTACCATATATTTCCTATCTTTTAAAGTATTATTCTTTTTTTTTCCTTTTGCAGCAAACAAAAACCAGCGCCTGTGTCGCGTGATCCAGTTTCTATTTTGCATTCTATCCAATGTAATGTCTATATATCTGGCCTATATCTTGTACATTTTGGACGATATTTGTGTGGTGTGCATATCAATATATGTTGTCAACTTCCTGTGTCTGTGGGAAATGTTAAGAACTGACAAATGGACGCAATGTTTCCGTAGTCAAAAAACCCAGTGCCTTAAAACGGATTAATCTATTTGTTTAAACATTGTATGTGTATATAGTTAATAAAATTCAATTGAAATTGTTGCAACTGCTCCTCAACCCGGCATTTGTGAGACATCAATAAAAATGTTGTAATCTACTAATTTCGATCGAAGATATCTATCGCCATTGTCATGCATAATAATAATTTGTAAGTAGTTGCAATAAATTATCCCCAGTCACAGTTGAGATTACCAACCTATTTGCCATGGATCCAAGTGTAAATGTGCCAAAAATGGGGTTACCTAATGATAGACATTGAATGAATAAAACAGAAAAAGGAAAACACAACAACACAATGAGCTTATAACAGCCATCCTCATCCTTAAGATCCGTCGTATCATACAATATATTCCAACACGTACTTTGCCGCTTTGAATGGCGCTTTTCAAAATCAAATAACGTCAAATCAACGACATTGTTTCAATTTTATGTTTTTTGTTTTTTTGAAGACGACTTACTAAGCAAGTACCTTAAAATGGGCATTTTACACTCGAAAATTGTTGACTGTCTAAGAGTAAAGAGTGGCGCCCAAATAAATTCCAAAGACAAACAAAAATTTGTTGTAGTCGGTTAGTGTAGGGAATGTGTTGAAATATTTTGTTTCGATGAAAATAAACCATTGATAATTTAAATCTACGCAAGCACAGCAATTTAATATAAAGGGAAAATTCGTTGTAGTAAAAAGTTAACATATCTTTTGAAAATATTGTCTGATATTTGTAATCAGCATACAAGTTAAGACTATTTTACTATCTGTAATTACAGTATAGATCCAATATTTGATACATACAGGGTGAGATAAAAAAACTGCAACAAAATCAAATGCCATAATTTTTACATTTTTTAATTTTATTGAATGAAAGCAACAACTGTCGAAAATAGCATCAAATTTTAGAATAAGTTTAGATTTGTTCGAATTGGTCATCTTTGGCACAAAACCGTCACACGCTGCACGAATGTTGCTCTGCGGTATTTTGGCCCATTCCCGGCGAAGCGCTTGCTTGAGGTGGTCGACACTTTGGTGTTTTTTAGCGCCAACCTTGCTTTCCAAAATACTCCAGACACAATACTCCGACGGATTGGTATCCGGGGTTTTTGGTGGACCTGTTGGAACGTCCAAGGTCTGCGGCCAATCACGGTCAGGAGCGATGGTACGAGACACAAACGATTTATTCACATTTAAATGCTGGAGTGCTCTAACGATAGCCAAATATAAAGAAATCACGCTTGAATTCCATCACGAATAACTCTATTTCTGGAAAATTCTCACCAAAATGCTTTTGTACGATTGTAAACAATATAATGAGCTGTCACTGGAATAATTTTAACAGCTGTCGGACGAGTGGCATAGAAATGACAGCAGTCTGAAGTTAGTTGCAGGTTTTTCATCTATATTAGCTATTATCTTTTGGTAAAACTTATCTAACCAGCTCACGCACGTTTTGTGTTTTGTTTCACTGTCAAACATCTTAAGCCGAGACTGTCAAACGTCTTCAGTTTGGTCTATTATTTAACCGTGAATATTCTTACAAACGAACAATGCGTGGTCAGTTAAGAAAGTTAAACGCGCGCTCGTTGACGAAGAAGTAGTAGAAGTATTGCAAAAGCTACCATTGCATCCAGAACAAGTCACAGTTTGGTGCGATTTATGGTCTGGGGCATCATTGAACCGCACTTCTTTAAAGATGCTGCAAATCGTAACGTAACTGTAAATGGCGAGCGCTACCGTGAAGTGATATCCAACTTTTTTTTGACCAAAATGCGATAGCTTGACTTACATGACATGTCGGCTGGGATAAACTCAGTGTCTGTCAGGGCCTGCATAAGGACTCACTAAACATTACGTAATGAAAACAGTAGAATTCTCACTTTCTTGGGGTAAAATCGGGTGTCTTCAGGTTTTAATGCGAAAATATCGATTTAGTAAGTATGAGATACTGGAGAATTCAATTCGAAGTTTTCGAGGTCGGGAATGCTTGCCATTTTGATTTTTGACGATTAGTAGATAATCACAGATTTTGATGTATGGATTCTAGACGATTGGTGGGTTATGGATGATCTGCGGATAATCAAGAAAGGTCAACGTTTACGCATAGCCCTCTTGTAACGGTACACTCCGATATTCGGTATTCTTCCACAATTTCCAACCAAATCAGCTGAAACTTGACATTTGGAGTTCTTGAAAGGAATTTTCTCTCTTTGCCAAAAGTTTTGGTGTAGCGTTACACGTAGCGTTACATTACGACTTTCGGTATTTTCAGGTTTCTGCCACAATTTCCAAATAAATCAACTGAAACTTGACATTTGAGGTTCTTGAAACGTCTGGTCTCTTCTTGCGAAAGATGTTCGATTCAAATGGGCTAAATGTTATAGCCCCCCATATAACGGTACCTCCCGATTTCTGGTATTTTGCAGGATTCTGCCAAACTTTCGACGTTATAATCGGGAACTACGATCCGGTTAGAGTTGATATTGCTGTTCGGGTTGTAGACTATTTCGCTGTTCGGGTTCGGCTTACAAGGCCGTGTACGAGGGGTAGATGATAGGAAACTCGTATCTGAGCTCGTATGTTAGTTAGTCGGGCTACTCTGCGGTCTACAAATACCGCTACATTACTACTCTAGATTTCGGTTGGGACATTGAACTCGAAGCTCCATTTGCAAGTCTTTAAGTATGGAAGACAATACTGAAGCATTTATTCGTGAGATACCGGCTGAATTGTTGGAAAAATTTAACTATGATCATTTGCATGAAATTATATTCCAACATTATATTAATTATCCAAAAAAAGGTTTTCATACATTTTTATACCCTCCACCATAGTATGGAGGGTATATTAAGTTTGTCATTCCGTTTGTAACACCTCGAAATATACATTTAAGACCCCACAAAGTATATATATATATATTCCAGATCAGCATAAAATTCTATGTCGATTTCGCGATGTCCGTCATTCCGTCTGTGGAAATCACTCTAGCTTCCGAACGAATTGAAGTAGATTGATACAATTTTACTCATAATATTTGTCTGCAGGACTTTTGGTATTGAAAATGTGCTATGTAGATCCACGTTTTGGTATAGCCCCCATATAGTGGTACCTCCCGATATTCGGTATTTTGATGGTTTTTGTGACAATATTCATCGGAATTGTTTGAAATTTGGTATTTGAAATTGACATAAAATTGTCTGTGCAGGTCCAAGTCTTCGTATATTCTAGCTACATTATTAACCGATTTTTTTTTGTTAAGTTTCCAATTTGAATATTGTAATGGCTTATGACAAAAGTTGCCTATGCAGGTCCATGTCGTCGTATAGACTTTAATGTAACAGCTACATTCGGTATTTTTAAGATTTTAACAGAATTTTTAACGGATTTTATTGTTTTTGAAAATTGCCAGATTCGTTCCAAACGGTGGAGGGTATTCAAAATTCGGCCCAGCCGAACTTACAGCTTTTTTGCTTGTTTAACCTTCCAACAGCTTAAACTAATCACCCGTTAGATAGCTCCCAAATTATAGGTATTTCTAAATTTTTCAAATCATTGAGTATAGTTACTGGTTGTAACATATAACATAAACAATAGATTTTGCAAGAATTTGAGATTACCATTATAATATGTTTTGTTTAATAAAAACAAAAATAAAATTTCAGCCCAAAAATCTCCTTAAATAAATTTTGAAGTTATCGTCGAACTCAAATTGATTTAGTTTCGAACGATGCGGATCTCTGTAACTCAATACATCTTCGAAATTATTCAATCTGTTTATAACATTCATCACTTTTTCTTGGGTGTAGTGAAGTCAAGTGAAGTGCTGCGGGATAATCTTACAAACCTCCTGTGCTACATCTGGTCTAGGCCGATCTGCCAGACACAAAGACGAGAAGATGTTACCTTGCCAGACACAGTCACATACGTTCGTTCAAACATATTTACCTACATGCACATATGAGGCAATCCAGCACCAGCAGCACCCAAAATAGTGCTTACCATGGATGATGGAATAGACATGGAACGTTTTGATTTTGTTTTGGTCTGTTTCGTTATGTTTATTTGTTTTTGTACGTCTTTAGAGATTTAATTTATGAGATCACGATGTTTAGTGACAATTTACATAAAAATAAATTTTAGCAAATTTCCTAAGCATTACAAATAAATGTTAACTAAAAAAAAACCAAGTGCACATGCATGCAAGCATATATACATTAATATGTATGTGTGTATGTATTAATGTTTGCAGTTTGAGGATGAAATAAAAATTCGGCGATTTAAGGCTCTAAGAGCCATCTATTTTTGGCCGAAATCACATAATCGACACACTCTAAACAACCACCATAAAGTTGGCAAACGATTCTCCATAACTATTTCCCAACTCCATTCCTATTAACAAAAAACAAAAAAAAAAAAAAGATCCCAAACAATGGTAAATTTATTTAATTTGCCTAACCGTCAAAAAAAGATGATGATTTACTTGAAACCGTCCGTTTCGATTATTCTTAGCTTTCGTTTTTTTTGGAGGAGCATATTCGTATGCTCGTTTAAGAAAATGAAGCAATGCTGTAATACTTGGATTCATTTCAGTTTTGGGATTGCAAATATGAATGGCTAAGTGTGTCAAATGACTTTAGTTGTATTCATAAAATTTTTACACTTTTAAAACCAATCCATTCCAAACAATGCTGTTGGGGAAAATAGGAAGGGGAGAAACACCCAAGGAAAGGAAACAGTAAATTTGAAAACTAAACATAATTTTAATTTTGCTGAAAAACAAAAACTGAGTAAACACTTCTGCTTGAGCCTGTAAAATATTTTTGGACATAATGAACTTTTGAGTAAAGAGACATAATCAAGTAAAATTAGGAAATAATTTGGATCAATGTCCCATCTAGGATTTTATTAATCTACAAGTATTTTTGTCTGGAATTAATTGTTATGGCCCGTTGTATGTTGCCACTCACCTATCTCCTCCAGTTTTATACCTGTGATAACCGTTTCATACCTTTACCAAAATCTATTTGGTTAATGTAAAGAATTGCCTCCAATGACCTTGTTGTTCATTACATTACAATATTGTCCACCATATCTCA